TTTTTTTTTTTTTTTTTTTTTTTTTTTTTTTGTCGATTGATTTTGGCTTTTAACTGTAAAATGGTAATAACAAAATCATTGTCCTTGAAGTAGAGGCCGAGTCCTCGTCGCTATGATTTCCACCCAATTAAACAATGCTGAATATTTAATTGGTAAGAATGTTGTTATCTCAAGAAGCAACAAAACTGAAAAAAGATTCATAAAATGTCGGCTTTTCAAAAATAGTTGTCCATTTTTTCACATTTTCACACCAAATGTTTCAAAAATTCCAAATTCAAAAAATGCAAATCAGTTCTGAAAAAAAACTCATTCAAATAGCCTCCACGACTTCTTTTGCAGGAATGAATTCGATGAACCCAATTTTCGAGTACTTTTCCCATTAAATCAAATCGCATGCCATTAATAAAACGTTCCTTATTGACATATCAAGCTTGGAGAAATTCCGGTTTATATCTAAAGGCCAATCACTTCAAATAACCCTACAAGAAGTAGTCTAATAGCGTTAAACCACAACTTCTCGGAACAGTCGATGCCACAATTTCTTTAAATAGTCGAATATCCAAACTGTTCTCGCAATAATTCGGTTGTTGCGCGTGCTGTGTGGCATGTAGCGCCATCTTGTTGAAACGAGTTGTTTTCAAGATCGACTTCTCCCTGTTGCGGACGAAAAATATTGGTTATCAACGATCTATAATGCTCACCACTGACAGTAACGGTGTCACCAGCTTCGTTTCCAAAGAAGTACGGACCGATGATTCCACCAAACCAAAAATCACACTATACTGTCAACTTAGTTTAATTTAATGGTTGTTCGTGAATAATTTGTGAATTTTTTTTCGTCGAACCAAAATCTACAGTTTCGTTTATTTACGGCATGACACACATGAAGTGAGCCTCATCGGAGACCGTTATCATTTTCAAGTTGTTCAGTTCTTGAGCGAGAACAATTTTATGCGGAGAAAAGCCCAAATCCTTACTCACAATCCACCAGGTTTCAGTTTGACGCAGTCCCAATTCTTGAGAAAATCTTGGAATCGACAAATTTCGATCTTTATCTTATTTTCTCTTGAACAATATGTGAAGAAAATAGTCACCCGAAATTTTCCATAATTCGACCTATCAGATAAAAGCGTAAATCACCACTAAAAGCTCAGCTTAGAAATTAAATATATAATAACTTTTTTAGAGCAGCAGTACATCTATAAAGCATGCGACTTTCTAATAGAACGTCTCATGCCTCAAGTC